CGTTCCCGCAGCTGCAGCAGCTGCAGCAGCGCCTGGCAGCGGCGGAGCTGCAGTTCCGGCAGCGGGAGCAGGAGCTGGCCCGCAGCCTGGAGGAGGCTCGGGGCAATGAGAAGAAGCTGCTGGCGGACGCTCGGAACCTGCAGCTCAAGGTGGAGGCGGCGCGGGCCGAGGTGGCGGAGCTGGGGCTGCGGCTGAGCGCGGCTCAGGGCCGGGCGCAGGGGCTGGAGGCGGAGCTGGCCCGGGGCGAGGAGCAGCGCAGGGCCACCGAGTCCCGCCTGGGCGGCCTCGAGGCCACCCTGCGCCGCACCGTGGCCGTGGCCAGGGCCAAGGGTGAGCGGCCCCGGGGGCACCGGGGCTCCGCGTGGGGCTGAGGGGAGGGGAGGTGTCACCCCACTGATCCAGCCCTGGGGGTCTCCAGTGCTCTGCTCCCTGCATCCCGGGGGTGTCCCGAACCCCGTTATTCCATCCCCTGCATCCCGGGGGTGTCCCGAACCCCGTTATTCCATCCCCTGCATCCCGGGGGTGTCCCGAACCCCGTTATTCCATCCCCTGCATCCCGGGGGTCCCTTTCACTCCATCCCCTGCATCCCGGGGGTGTCCCGAACCCCGTTATTCCATCCTCTTCATCCCGAGGGTTCACTTCACTCCATCCCCTCCATCCCTGTATCCCCCATTTTTCCATCCCCTGCCTCCCGGGGCTCTCCCATTGCTCCACCCCCTCTCCCCGGCTGTGTCCCCATGTCCCCCCGCTTGTCCCCCGGCAGGAGGGGTCCCGGAGGGCCCGGCCAGCCCCGGTTCACTCCCGGACGCCTCCGCGGATCCCGAGGCGCTGCGGGCGGCGCTGCGGGAATTCCTGCGGGAGCTGCAGGACGCGCAGCGGGAGCGGGTGAGTTCCCCCCGTTCCCCCCGTGCCCCCCGAGCCCCCAGCCCCAAAACAATCCCTTCCCAGCGCTGTTCCCGGCAGGAGGAGCTCCGCGGGGAGCTGCGCAGCCAGGCCCGGCGGCTGCGGGAGGCCGAGGCGGAGCGGGACAGCGCCCGCGGCCGCGCCCAGCAGCTCCAGAGGCTGCTGGAGGACAGCGAGCAAGGTGATGCTGCGGGAATTGCGGGAATTGCGGGCTTGGAGCCTCTCCACAGCCGGTGGGAGCGCGGAGGGAGCGGGGAGGTGATGGCCAGGCCGGGGGATGCTCCCCAAAATTTCCTCCAAAAAAAAGATTTCCTCCAAAATGCTGGCGGGAGAATTCATAAATAGCAGGAAACTCCAGTAAAGCTTTATTGTTCCTGCTTTAAACCCCAGTACAAGCGGTAAAAATTTCCATATAGCCTTCTGAACCCAATAAAAAAAATAAAAAATATATATACATATATATATAATTTTATATATATATATGTATATATATATATTTATATATAATAGCATATCCCGTCAATCCCTCTGCAATTACCATAAATCCCGTTAAGCCCCAGGAGCCCCCACTGCATCCCCATAAACCCCACAGAGCCTCTCTTTATCCCCCACACACCCCGGGATCCCCCCCTTGTACCCCAATAAACTCCAATAAAACCCCATTGCAAACCTCGCAGACCCCGGGATCCCCCCTTGTACCCCCCATAAACCCCATTGCAAACCCCACGGACCCCACACGCACCCCACACACCCCACACACCCCGCCCCGTTCCCCGCAGGCCGGAGGGAGCTGAGCGCCGCCCGGGCCTCGCGGCTGCTGCAGGACGAATCCCTGCGCAATTCCCGGCGGGAATGCCGCGAGCTGCGGGACAGAGCGGCCGCGCTGCGGGACAGCCTGAGCACCGCCGAGAGACAGCGCAGGGCCGCGGAGGTGGGAACCGGGAACGGGGGGAATGGGGGGTCCGGGGGGGAATTGGGGGTCAGGGGGGAATGGGGGGAATGGGGGGGAATCCAGCCGGGAATGCGGGAATCCAGGTGGGAATGGTGCGGAGTCCAGCTGGGAATGCAGGGCAGTCCAGGTGGGAATTCGGGGCAGTCCAGGTGGGAATGCGGGAGAATCCAGGTGGGAATGCGGGAGAATCCAGGTGGGAATGCCGGACAGTCCAGGTGGGAATGCAGGAGAATCCAGGTGGGAACTCGGGGCAGTCCAGGTGGGAATGCGGGGATTCGGGTCAGTCCGGGCGGGCACGGCCGCGGTCCCGGCACATCCCGGCTCCATCCCCGCGCCAGGAGAAGCTGGGGGAGCTGGAGGGGGCCCGGCAGAGGCTGGAGCTGTGCGAGAGCCGCAGCTCCCGGCTGGAGGCCGAGCTGGGCCGGGCCCGCCGGGCGCTCGCTGAGAGGGACGCGGAGGCTCGGGAGGCGCGGGAGAGAGCGGAGCAGCTCCAGGGACAGGTACCGGCACCGAGCCCGGACAATTCCAGTGCCTCAACTGCCTTTCCATTGATCCAGTCCCGCAGATCCCCCTGAGCACCGCCCAGCGCCTCCTGAGGCACTCCCGACCCCGCAATTCCCACTGATCCCACTCCCGACCCCACAATTCCCACTGATCCCACTCCCGACCCCACAATTCCCACTGATCCCACTCCCAACCCCGCAATTCCCACTGATCCCACTCCCGACCCCACAATTCCCACTGATCCCACTCCCGACCCCACAATTCCCACTGGTCCCACTCCCGGCCCCACAATTCCCACTGATCCCACTCCCGGCCCCACAATTCCCACTGATCCCACTCCCAGCTCCCCCTGAACACCTTCTGCTTTCCACAATTCCTCCCAAACTCCTTCCCAGTTCCCCCGAAAGCACTCCCAGTTCCCCCTGGATCCCATCCCAGTTGTCCCCAGTTCGCCCAAAACCCCTCTCAGTCTCCCTGAATCCTCTCCCAGTTCCTCTGGGTTCCTCCTAAACACCCACCCAGTCCCCCTGAATCCCTTCCCAGTGTCCCCAGTTTCCCCTGAGCCCTTCCCCAGTGTCCCCAGTGTCCCCAGTTGTCCCCAGTGTCCCCAGTGTCGGTTCCCGGGCACAGCTGGCTCGGGCCGGGGCCCGCCCGGTTCCGTTCCCGGTGCCGTTCCCGGTTCCGCCGGGGAGCGGCTCCAAGGGGGAGGCTCCGGCCGGGTCCCCGCTCCACGAGCGGCTCCTGCAGCTCCAGAACGCGCTGGCCGCCGGCGAGATGGACCGGAGGCTGCTCCAGGTGGGATCGGAACCCTCCCCAGTGCCCCCAGTTCCTTCTGAACCCCCTCCCAGTCCTCCCACTTCCCCCCGAACCCTTTCCCAGTTGCCCCAGTTCCCTCCGAACCCCTCCCAGTGTCACCAGTTCCCGCTGGAACTCCTCCCTCTTCCCCCGAACCCCTCCCAGTTCCCCTGAACCCCTTTCCCAGTACCCCCAGTACCCCCAAACCCCTCCCAGATACCCCTGAACCCACTCCCAGCCCCCCCAGTTCCCCTGAATCCTGTCCCAGTTCTCCCCGGACCCGTTCCCAGTCCCCCTGAGCCCCCTGACAGTCCCGGGGTGTCCCGGGGTGTCTCGGGAGTGTCCCGGGGGTGTCCCGGTGTGTCCCGGGGCTGTCCTGGGCTGTCCCGGTGTGTCCCGGTGTTTCCCGCGGGTGTCCCGGGGGCTCACGGGGCTGTCCCGGTGTGTCCCGGGGGTGTCCCGGGGGCTCAAGGGGCTGTCCCGGAGTGTCCCGGTGTGTCCCGGTGTGTCCCGGTGCTGTCCCGGTGTATCCCGGGGGTGTCCCGGGGGCTCAAGGGGCTGTCCCGGTGTGTCTCGGTGTCCCAGGAGGGGCTGGAGGAGGCGCGGCGGGCGCTGGCGGAGGCGCGGCGGGAGAAGGGAATGCTCCGGGAGCAGCTCCGGGAACAGCGGGAGCTGGGAATGCCGCGGGAACCGGGAATGCCGCGGGAACCGGGAATGCCGCGGGAACCGGGAATGCCGAAGGAACCGGGAATGCCGAAGGAACCGGGAATGCCGCGGGAACCGGGAATGCCACCGGAGCCCTCCCAGGACCCACAGGACGAGGTGAGGGTCAGGGGGGGCCGCACCCCAAATTCGCTGAGCTTTGACCCCAGACAGGACCCTGGGGATCCCCCACAGAGCCCGGCACTGTGGCTTAATGAATGAACTAATTATCATATCTGTATCATCATGTCTAATTATCTGTTACTCTGTTATGCAATGGGTACATTGTCCAATACACAAACACACACACACATATATATATATATTTATGTATATATTGAAATGGCTCTGTTTTAGCTGCATCCATGGGGGTTTATCCATGGTTTTAGATCTGTAACTCATTATTTAATGCAGGTCTGTGTTTGGATCTGTATTTAATGTTATTTAATGCAGGTCTGTGTTTGGATCTGTATTTAATGTTATTTAATGCAGGTTTGTGTTATATCTGTATTTAATGTTATTTAACGCAGGTCTGTGTTTGGATCTGTATTTAATGTTATTTAATGCAGGTTTGTGTTTAGATCTGTATTTAATGTTATTTAATGCAGGTTTGTGTTATATCTGTATTTAATGTTATTTAATGCAGGTCTGTGTTTGGATCTGTATTTAATGTTATTTAACGCAGGTCTGTGTTTGGATCTGTATTTAATGTTATTTAATGCAGGTCTGTGTTTGGATCTGTATTTAATGTTATTTAATGCAGGTTTGTGTTATATCTGTATTTAATGTTATTTAATGCAGGTTTGTGTTATATCTGTATTTAATGTTATTTAACGCAGGTTTGTGTGTCCGGGCAGGAGCGGGAGCCTCCCGGCCGGGCTGGATCCCCGCAAATCCCCGCGGGCTCGGCCGAGCGGGAGCTGGAGGAGGCTCGGAAGCGCATCCAGGTGCTGCGGGTGGGTCCCTGCACGGGCTGGTCCCGATCCATGGGATGGGAATGGGGCTGATCCCGATCCATGGGCTGATTCCGATCCATGGGATGGGGCTGGGGCTGATCCCGATCC